CTACATTACAGATGGGAGGCTGATGCTATAAGAAGGGTGCTTGTTTAATTCTATTCCAGAGTTCTAAAAAGTAATTTTTACGGACTAAACTAGAGGAAGGAACTGGCAGAACCAACTCTGAATATTCCTTTCCTAAGAATCCCTGCCTAAGAGAACCCTATGAAATTCATGGGGTTGCCATAAGTCGACAGGTGACTTGAAGAAGAAAAAAAAAAAACAGAGAGAGAGAGAAGGAGAGAGAGTGCTCCTAGAATCACCATGATGATCAGGAATTCTGAAAATCCTAATTCCTCAAAATAACTTTTTCCAGTATCTGGTCCATCCTAGTGATCTCACAGAGGAAGAGACATTGAATTAAAAACTTCAGAGTTCAGAGCCTCAACTTATCTAACACTATAATTATAAGTTTGTTCAGGTGCTGTTGTTTTATTGTCACTGTAGAACCCACATTTTCTTTAATATCTGAGAATGCAAGTAGCTATAGATCTGAGCACAGTTGGTGTCTCTTTAAAACTGTAAATGAAATTTCAATACACCCGTCATTTTTGTCTCTGTCTCCTGTCCCCTATGCTCCTGCTTCTGCCATTCATTTCAGCAACAAAAATAAAATTAATGGTAGGTGGTCTGCTATCATTGTGGAAAAAATGTGTTTTAATTAGCCAAGAGCACTGAAAAAGATTATTGTGCAAATACTGGCGAATCTTCAAACAAGAGCACATGCTGTCCATTTTATTCACAATGAAAAAGTTCTTAAGGGAGATTTCGATAAAGATTTGCCTCCCTCCTTGCAGCCTGCATCTGTAATGTTTATGTAAGTGAAGGATATAAATCTTTTTCAAATGAACCCCACTGTTCTCAAACCAGACTGCTTGTTATAAACTGCCTGTTTCCGTTTTGCCTGCTTAAGCAAGCAATGCTGAGCCTTGCCCTGGACATAGTGGAACTAATTTAATGTGTTCCAGGTTTGAGTCCCCACTCCCTCTTCCAGCTTTTACGAGTAGATTTTA